GTGTCAATTTACGTGGCACCGAGTATAAAACTCACCTCCTTTCTGCTCTGTCACTCTGGAAAAGAAATAGTCGGGAACTTGTTTTCTAAATTTAGGCGAAGTATTCCGATTGCGACGTACATCTGTAGATATCTCGCATACAATATCCAACACGGCTTTTCATGATTTTTGGTGAACAAATTTGACTTGAAAAATTTGCATAGCATTTCAAAAATTCCGTTCTGCCAATGAATACAGTAGTGTAACCCATGTATGTACTCTATGAGTACCGGGTCCAATGAATCTCACAATAAAAGGCTAATTCTTTAGACGGCAGAAACTTAGGCTCAGCGACTGTCAAATCTGTCGGATTTTTCTACTTAACCTATGTACATAATTTGAAGACTTACACACACGTATATCAAAGATATCAACTTTAACCGACAAAAATAAATCACATCTATTTACACACATATTTTTAAAATATTTTGGAGACAATATTTATTAAACATATTAGCCCCAACGACGATCTTCTAAAATTTGGTTTGCTATACTGTATCGGATACATCAACATTGATAATGAAAAACATACAGCTTACTAGCTCGCTAAGAAACACTATTAACGACCAATTTAAAACGTCAATATATTATCAGTGGAAATAAACATAATTTTTTAAGTTTTTTTCAATAATTTATTTCTTTTTTGATTTTAAGTTGAATTAACAGATATATATTATGGTTTTAGTTTATTAAAAATGTATAGATTTAAGGGCGTAGAAATAACGATATGTAATATTCTAAATTTGAATATTATATACATAATATATATTTTAACACACCACAAAAAATTAAAAGATATTCATACATCCCTTATAATAACTGGATTGCTTCGACCAGAAGGCAACTGAAAATTATTTTCTTCATTATACCCGTACTCGAAGAGTTAAGGGGTATATTAGGTAATCTTTTGGCCTCTCCGAAAGTTCTGCGTCCGCGACCTGAGTGTCTTTTTGCTTTCTGCGCTACGATAGCCCCCCTCAAGATCTGGCACGGGGTTTAACATCCCAAGACGGAGAGAGATATTTGATACTCTTTTGAACTTTGAACTGCGATCCATTGTCGGAAATAATCGTCTCCGGAACGCCGAAAGTGTGAAACAAGTCCTGCTGAAAGTACTTGATGACCACATCAGCCGTTAATCTCTTGACCACCTTCAAAAATAAAAATTCCGAGTAATGGCCCAATACTATGAAGATCTCAATATGCCCACTACGAGAACGAGGGTATGGACCAAGAAAATCAACATATAGTCTTTGAAAACCTTTGAGATTCGGGTGCAACGCCAATCTTAGGCCGTTGCACGGTATTCGGTGTATCGGCCATTTTTCAGACCTCAAAACCACGAATGTACTTTTTGACATCGTTGACTAGCCCTGGCCAATAGTAGTATATCCGGATCCTTTCTAGCGTTTTACGCACGCCTCCATGCGACGCTAGAGGATTTTCGTGAGCCTTCTTCAACACTTCGTCAACCAGCCCCTTTGGAATCCAAAGTTTCCAAGCGAAGGTATCGTGAAGCTGATTGGCAGTAGCGTGATCTGACTTTCGATATGCCAATCCCTCCACAACTTTCAGATCGGGCAGCTTGTCGAAATTTTCCTTCGCCATCTCGACGTACTCCTCAGCTTTAAACTCTGGCGTCTAAGCATTAACCAACACCCCTTGGTTGACCTCTATCGCAGACAACTTTTGGTCATTCACCCTGGACAGTACACCGGGCCGACATGGTTGAATCGCCACTGCGATGCTCAATTTTAAAATTGAAACCCTGTAGGTTTGTTCAATTTTTTTTTTTTTGTTCAATTTCAAATTGTTCAATTTTTTCGAGACAAACGCAATTGGGTATTCAGCGCATTGGTGTTTTTTGGACTAACACTCCCTCAACACCTCTTTTGATAATAACGCACTGGATAAAGAACGGCTATCCGTAATAAGGACTTCGTAGTACTGGCGCAGAGCACATCATCTCCTTCAGTTTCTCGAACGTCGCCTGTCCTTTTGGAGTCTTCACAAATTTCTGTCTTATCGCGCGAGCTTGGCTCTAGAGGTACTTGCCAATATGCGTCTTTCAATTCTAAGATAGAAATATACATGGCCTTTGGAAGCTGACTTAATACTCCATCAATTTGTGGCAACGGACAAGCATTCTTTTTAGTCACCGCTTTGACCTTTCTACTGTCCAGACAAGGGGCGAAGACCAGGCGCTCTCCGATTCCTCGATGACCCCCATCTTGAGCATCCTATCGACCTCAGCGTACAACAACTGCTCTACTGCTGGAGATACAGGAAAATGCCGTTGTTTTACCGGCTTGTTAACTCGTTTTCCTAAGGTCCGATACAGCGAAAGACGGCCATGAACTCCATCAATCTGCTCCCTTGAACCTCTGAAAGTTCATGAGAATCATGTAGGAAGAAGGTAACAGGTCGACCATATTTCTCAATCTTGGCTATACCATCATTAGTATTAGGTGTAACTCTAACCCCTTAGCCACATCCTTCTACTTCACCAGGATTTTGAGACGTGCCAGGACATCTTGTTTGCTGCCATCTGCAGTAAAAGCTGCTGAAGCACTTCTTTTAAAAGGAATCCTACTTCAAATGACCTCTTCAGCCAATTTCCCACCTATTACACTCATAGCTGCTCGTAAATTGTTGCAAATCGATTTCAATTCGATACAAATCGTTGTAAAATCACTTTTCTCGTCATTAACCTGTTGATCAGTGAACTCTTAATTGTCTAGCGTAGCAAAGGGGAGCCTGAGCCAAAAAGGGGTGGCAAAATCGTATTCTGAGTGAGAAATGTGAGCCTCTTAAAATTCTGTTCAAAAATTCTTTGGTAACGGGTCAGTTTATTAAAAAGTGGAAAGCTGCCACTATTACTCCCGTTTTTAAGAAAGGTGCTAAGAATTGTATCTCTAATTATAGACCAATTGCCAAACTCAACAATGTCTCAAAACTTCTTGAGCGAATCATTGCCAAAAAGATCTCTTTCCTCATGAAGTCGTACATAAGCCCAAATCAGCATGCTTTTATGCCGGGTAGATCAACGACCACTAATTTGGTAGCCTTCAGTAATTTTTGCACACATGCCTTTGAAAGGCATTCTCAGGTCGATGTAGTGTACACTGACTTTGCTAAGGCTTTTGACAAAGTCTCCCACTGTGCCTTAGTAGCCAAGCTGCATCGGTTGGGGATTCATTCGAGCATGCTTTGTTGGTTCATGTCGTATCTGGAGCAGCGAGAGTATGTTGTGTTGGTAAACGGAAAGCAGTCGGACCCATATTTGGCTACTTCCGGCCTTCCACAGGGAAGTGCTCTTGGGCCGTTGCTGTTTGCTATTTTCATTAATGACATATGTTTCAGCATTCAATCTTCTGAGCATTTGCTTTATGCTGATGATCTGAAAATCTTCCGTCCTATCAAAACTTTAGGCGACAGTATCCGTCTTCAGCGACACCTGGATGCAGTCGCTCGTTGGTGCACACATAATTCTCTCCCTCTCAACATTAACAAATGTTACTTTGTGTCCTTTAGCAAGTGTGTATTCAATGTTCAGGCCTCATTTTCGCTAGTTGGCCTTCCGCTCTTGAAGCATGCAGAGACACTTGACCTAGGGGTCTTGTTCGATTCAAAATTTTTTTTTATCGAGCATTTGAACTTCATTTTGCCAAGAGCCTATGCTATGTTCGGCTTTGTTACGCGTAATTCATCCCAGTTTAGGGACCCATATACGAGGCTAAGTCTTTATTCATTTCTTGTGCGCTCGCGCCTTGAGTATGCTTCGGTGGTTTGGAACCCCACTGGGGTCGTTCAAATTGCGCGTATCGAGAGATTGCAAAGGAAGATAAGGTTTATCCGTTGGCGAATAAATAAATAAATAAATAAATAAAATTGGATTATTGGCTTAAGAGATTTCAGCATTCAACAATGACTATTTCTTAAGTGAGCAGCAAATGTACTTAATTTTTATGAAACCGATTTCAGCCACGAATCAATTGTCTTTAAATTGTCCAAAAAACGATGGTTATTTCCTTTTATACATTATGATGTTTATTTATTTATTGAAAGCAAATTACTGTCTATAAAACCAAACGTTTCAGTAATTTATCTTGGCAGAACTCCTGAAGCTCCAATTAATTATAAACTATACAATAGGCTGGGCCAAAATTTGACCAAAGAATTTTTTTTTTGTTTTTTCGAAGGGGACACCGCCCAAAACATTTTTAAAATTTTTAGTTTAATGTTTGGGGCTACCACGAAAAGAAAATACACTTTTTTGGTTAAATATACATACATTAAAAAAAATTTAATTCGTTGGTTTTTCTAAATAATATTGAAACGTAGAAACTATTTCATATTGATAATAAGGTGTTTTTAATTTTTTTTTAGTTACTGTTAAAAAATTAACTATTGGTGAAAATCAAGAAATTCAGCTTAGGTTGATATATTTAGTTAACTTGTTCGCAGAAACTTGAGCAGGTTTTTTACTGCCAATAACTGATTAATGACGATATGAATGGTATCAATAAATATACGATAGATTTAATCAAGTACACTACTCGACAAAATTGAACTTTTGATTTAGGCTGTGAACCAAAATGACTTTTTCTGATAGATTTCGGGATTTAAAAATTTTTGTAGTACTCTATTATTTTTTTTATGGTGTCATTTCTTTTAAGAATTTTTAAAATCTGGTATTTTTTTCTTGGTTTTTTTCAGAGGTAGTGTTTCTATTTTTCACATAGCTTTAGTATCTTATATCTTAATTCGTTAAAAATTTTTAAACCCCGAAATCTATAAGAATCTAAAGTTTGGCCCACAGCCTAATTCTAGTGTTGACTATTGTTATCCAACTCATTCAGCAAAAAAATGTTGTTTTAATTTTCTTGCTTACAATTTTTTGTAAAATTCGGTAGCAACCTCTAAAAAAATAAATTAAAAACATGTAAACTACTATTAAATCCAAGGTAACAAAACTAGTGTGTGTCCCGTTTGAATCTCGAAAAAAAAATTTTTGATTCAGCCTACTATACAACTACAGAAACACTTCTATTCCGATCTGACCGAATAAACTCGAAATTCTCAGTCTTCTTATGAATAGCATCGATATGAGTATTCTTTGAAGCAACTCAGGTCATGCATAAACCAATTTCCGCTGCTGACCTTAATTCCCAGGCAGTTTTCCGCACAGTACAAGTCATTGGGTTCAGCGGTGGCCCACTTGAAGTAGGTCTGGATCTTGGAGTTTGCCAGCGAGATCCAGGCCCCGGACTTGATGCCAAAGCCAGAGAACCAAACCGCTTCGTCTGTACCAAAACCCAACTGATTGAGGTATTGCGATACCTCGCTGTCGATGGTAGCCAACTGCTTTCCCAGGTCCATGCAACTTCTGGCCGCATCCCACCAGTTGAACTGAAATTGGAGGACATCATTGCAGTGGAGCAGTACACATCTGGAGCATGGAGTATGGCATCACCATGCCGCGCCCCAACTTAAAGGCGCTGTCTCCCAACTGGACTGTCCTCCGAGCACTTGAGTTCCTGAGCCAGGACGCACTGGAGAGGTAACTGCAGGATTGGTAGCAGAAGAAATACCCTCATAGTGACTGATTACTGATAATGGTCTGTCCATATGCAGCAATGCAGGCGCATTTATATGACTGGTCTTATCACCTATCACCACCCCCGTGGGCACAATTCGGTCCCATCCAACGTAATGAGCATAATGGGAATTGACGACGACAGATAAAGGACCGCCCCTTATTTGAATCAATCGATGACGCGACTCGAGTAAATATTCAGAACAAAGAAAACCCAATGCGAGGCTGCTATATAAATAAAAAAATTACCTGAGTAGAGCATCACTCGATCCACACAGTAAAAGATGAAACTGTTCGCTTCGGTTTTAGCTGCTCTGGCGCTGTCTTGCGTCGAGGGCTTCAACTGCTCACTGCCATTGAGTAGGGTCGGCGAGAAGCATTACTATGTGGAGAGCAAGGAAAAGGTGGTTGTCCGTTACATAGACTCTTTTCTGAAATCTTCTAATCACCATGAATCCCTTCCCTCTCCAGCTCATCTGGTACGATGCCAACGAGCGCTGCGTTCGGTCGGGCCTCCAGCTGGCCACCGTCGACTCCGAGTACAAGTTCAAAGAGCTGACCGACTTCTTGACGAGAATGGGCTATCGTGCCGACTGGATCTGGATTGGTGGCATTGGCCGGCAGGGCAGCTGGCTGCAGTTTGGGCCTGCCCGGCCCCTGCCCTATGCCAAATGGTACACCAGCCAGCCGGACAATCTGAACAGCGAGAACTGCATGAATCTCTACCGCATCGGGGAGCCCTGGTTCATGAACGATTACTCCTGCCGCAGCAAGCTCTCGTACATCTGTGAACTCGACACCACAAGAGTGTATATCAATTGATTTTGAAAAATATACGAGTATTCCAACTAAAAGATTCGTTCGTCCTGTAAGTTAATTCTATACAAATCGTTGTAAAATCACTTTTCCCGTCATTAATCTGTGGTGAATATTTATAGTATTGAAATGGTTATTAATGTCCTGCATGAGTTTTGCAGAGCATTCATAAACGAATTCCCAGAGGATAGTCCACAAACTATCTCACTTCCGAGTTTTTGTGCCTTAGACAATTCTGACTTATCAGATGTTTTGTTCTGTTTTTCCCATTTTCCTGCAGTGAATTCCACTTTTTCGTTTTGAATTTCAAAAAATTAAGTTTGCATTGGAAAATTGTCGAAAAAATACCCCACGGAAACGTGCGAATTAGGAACATCCCAGATGGATGGTGGAATAACTGGTAAATTTTCGGAACGGCAAAACCTTACGGACCATCCCCGAAATGGATGGTGGATGGTGCCTATGGGAATAGGCTATTACGGAACCTTTCGCCAGTGTGAAATGGCTATGAATCGGTGTTTCACATCATTCAAGAAATTCCCACCGTTCCCCCGGGATGGGCTCAGTGTGCAAGAGGGTATTAGTCTTTTTTCCTGGGCAGGTATATTTCGGTATATTTTTAAGGGTGAGGCGGCTTCAAATCCGCGTCTGCGTCAACGATAGAGCCTGTCAAACGATTGATAGTTGAGCCAACGATAGTTTTTATTTATTATTAAAAAACCATTGGCACCTTTTAGGAACTTGTCCATAGTAAAAATTAGATGCCACCTGTTGATTTGTTTGTCTTCGTATCTTAGAGCAGCCAATCCAAAGATATCAGAAGCGCAACAACTGTAGCTCGATACTATCATGATAGTCGCAAAAACCGTCGATAGTAGCGGATAGCAGCAAAAAATCGATAGTGCCCTTGATGGTTTGACACCTCTAGTAAACTACCATGGCTCGTAGTAAAGTTTGGAAATATTATGATAAAATTTCAAACAATACGGCGCAATGCCAGCTCTGCGAAAAGATCATCAAAACTTCCGGCAACACGTCCAACTTGATGAAGCACATGAAGACCCATCCGCAGATGTAAGTGCTGTGCTTCCTTCCATATGATTGTGTCTGCCCAGGGCTGATGAACTGACTTTACTTTATAAATTGCAGAGATCTCAATAATAATGAATCTGTGGTGATGCGTGGCATGTTCAAGCGGGAGTCTCATGTGGTAAAGAGGAAAATCAAAAAGTCGCCGCCTTACGAGGGCCTCCTGTCCTTGTTCCAGGGGAAATATCACAGCGGCAGTGGGCTGGTAATAAAAACTAAAGCGGAGCCAGATAATTTCATAGAGCTGGATGATGCCTCTTGTCAGCCAGTTGAACAGGCTGCCGGGGAGAGCGTTATCTTCTGGACGACTGGTGAAACGGAGTCCGCTGCAGAGACAGTCAGCGCCGAGGACATCATAGAATTTGAGCCCAAGGTGGCAAATGATGCCAGCGCCGAAGCCAGTACTGCTCTATTTGAAATTCCGGATCTACCGCTGGACGACGTAGAGGAAGTTATCACGTAAGCTATCTCATCTCGCTCACCTTAAAGATCATTGGCGAATAGCAGAAATAATAGAATATGAAATTTGGTTTGCAGCAACTTCCACAGCAACCTGGACGCAAGAGTAGCAGGCCAGCGGTCGTTTCTTCAAAACATGGCCTTCTTTGTCTGCCGTGACAGGCATCCTCTGCATATCATTCAGGCCGAGGGATTCAAGCATTTGATAAGTGAGTTGTGCCCTGGCTCTAAACCTCCCAGCGTGGATGAGCTGGGCACTTATATTTACAACCAGCGGCAGCTGCAAGCATCGAAACTGCGCCAACAATTAGCAGGACTATCCACGCTCTCCCTAAGTTGTGCCGTTCACACGAAACCAGAGGAGCGAAGTTACCTGGTGCTGGCGGTTCATTTCTTCGAGGGACTGGAAAAGGTTTCCAGAACGTTGTCGGTACAAAGCTTGCCCGAGCATTTCAGTGCCAGCCAGATTGAGGAGCGGATGGAGCGGGTGTGTCGCCGTTTTGACATAAGCAAAACAAAGATCACCTGCGTGGTCACAAGAGGCTGTCGTCGGCTCGAGGATGCTGTGGCGTCCCTTTTGGGGGATCATCGTCACATGCCCTGCTTTGGAGACCTGCTCAATACTATACTAGAGAAAACTATGCTCCGCAAAGAGATTATTCACTTCTGCGAGAAGGTTCGCCCCTATGTTGCGCACTACCTCGACAGTGGGGCTCTTCTCTGGCAAAGGAAACTGCAACTGGATGTGAAGCAATGCCCCCTGAGCACGTTTGACATGCTCGAGAGATACATAAAGTACGCCCCGCACCTGCTCAAATACGTGCCACTCGAGATTAGCCCGCCCCTGTCCGAAGAAGAGCTGGAACAGTGTCGTGAGCTGCTGGGAGTCCTGAAGCCGCTGGCCAGCTCGATGAGAGAGCTCAGTCGAGCAGGAGAAACGTCATTTCCCGATGCTAGCAAGGCCTTGCCCATAGCATACACCCTCATCAACGAACTGAAGAAGCACCGGAGCTCGGAAAATCAGTTGACTTATGATCTGCGCATGGTTCTGCTCCATCAGCTCGAGGAGTGCTTTGATAGCATGGAGAATAATATTCAGCTGGCTATGGCCACTCTGCTGGATCCGCGCTTTCGCACCATGCCTTTTTGCAGTGAACTGGCGTCCCATTACAAGAAAGATCTTTGCGAGATTTTTCAGACACACGCAAAGCCTCGAGTGGCAGCCACTGCTCAAGAGGATACGGACGAAAACTATGACATCTGGGCGGCGTACAAGACTTTATCGCATGAGAAGGAGAAGCACCGGCAGAGCACAGAGCCCAATGACCAGGACGATGAGATCAGCAGCTATTTTGATGGAAGAATCAGTAGCCTGCAGGAGGAGCCGATGAAACTGTGGGAAAATCTAATGTATTTGCACCCCTTTCTGCATGGTCTGGCCAAGAAGTACCTGCACATTCCGGCCACCGCTGTCCCGCCGGGACTGTTCACGGCCGCGGGAGAACAGTACGCGAAACTGACTGGCGCTTACATGGAAAACACGCTCTTTATGGCAGATGTTCCTTTTAACGAGTGGCAATAGTACAATTTTCATATTGTAGAAAAATACATTTTACTATAGTTTTAAAATAGTACGCGTTTTATTAAAACGGACATTTCTAAGTGCTGCACTACGGTCACACTATTGCATTACACTATTTCTTCGCCTTATCTCCCACCCTCTCTAAATCACACACCTTGCACATTATTAGATATATATATCGGATAAGTTGACTGCTTTCTTCGCCAGGGGGCGCTGGTAATAATTACGTGTCTGCGTAGTTGCCATTTCGCACAACCACAACTATTTGTCCCATATTGTGACGAAAAATTTTCGGCAGAGGTTTTTCTTTTTGACGAGTTAATACGATTTCAATCAATAAAATGAAACGTTAACCCATTGTCGACCAGGGGGGTGTTTAGCGCACAGAAAATACGGCGGACAAATTTTCCGCATGTTCCAGTCCCACCTCAGCGATAGATTGTCCAGGCTGAGTCGAAGCGCCATCTATCGGTTTTCCAAAGAGGCTAAATGATGTAGGACAGTATCGGTGAGAGCGAGATTCCGTTACTGAATAAAAGAAGGAAGAGGATAAGATTAGTTAGGTGTATTGGTAAAGGCAGGCATACATGAAAGGGATTAAATAGGAGTGAAAAAAATCTAAAACGTGGACATAAGAATTGCTGGTCATCCGAAGCAGAGGTACTAATTAATAGCAGAACTAGAATCTAGGCCGAGTGGGGTTAAACCCGATTAGTGGAATTTTCAAAAAGTGAGTGGTGAAAATTCGAATTTAAATAAAATGTAATCCGTGATAAATTTCCCATAGCCTGGCCCGGAAGATTGCCCAGCGCAGCCGGGTCAGTGATTTTACCTGAGGGAGAGAAATTCTGGAGAGGATCGACCGCAGTGGGCCCGACGAGCCAACCTTCGAAATCTAACTGTGAGTCCGTTCCGTGCCTGTTATTTTGTGCCGTGTATGAAGCCGAGATTGTGAGGGGTGCATGCCTAACCAGGTCAAACGAACGATCCGCTTAGAGTGACCAAGGACCGTGCCGCAGACGCAGTGGTACACGTAGTCCGAGCCTGTGGACTCTGCCGGAGCCACCTCTACGATCACCTAAGGATTTGCACTCACGATTACACTCGCATTTACACACTACACGTTCACATTGGCACGCAAAGTTCATTGCACTCACGATCGCCCACCGTATATATATTTCCTTGGGATCACTATTCTCACTCGCAAGCCGCTACGGACACATATGTGCCCGACAGTATTAGTATTGTTCATCGTGTTGCCCATATTATATGTGTTAATTGTTATTTATTATTAATAGTTTAAGTGAACCGTAACGTAAACAAACCCGATTTGTGAAACGCCAAACATTGCCCGACATAGACACAAAACAAACATATGGTAGGATTAACCCTTGTGCGCGGCGCGGGGTCTCACAAGCCCACCGTTTTGGTGAAATATTGTTTGGTCATTTTTGTTGTCGATGGCCTTGTTTATATCTGCCCCTATGACCCTTAACAAGAGCTCTTGGTAGGATAGTCTCGGGAGGGCCAAAAGAAATGTAAATCATTTCCCAATTTAATTCTGCATAAAAACGCCCATTACGCACATAGGTATATTCTCCTAATCCAGTTGGTATTTATTTGAGTGCTGTCGTTAAGTGAGTTGGTATTTTTTTTGTTATTATGTTATTTATTTAAATTATTATTGTTTATTATAGGAAGAAAATTTATAGTTAGGAGATGTATTTGTCGTATTATATTATATATTAAACTAAGGAATATTGAAAGGATGAAGGCCTAAATTAATTTAGAGGGAGGACGCGTGGCGTAAGCCATGGATTAGACCAGCCGCAGCCGTTCCAGCAGAGGGTGGCCAAAATGAACGTTATATTTGACCACAGGTAGGGTGGGCGCGCGAAGTGGAAACACCTAGACTTCACCCCCTTGACAGCCGTCTATTTGTTTGGTTCTTTTTGTTTGTCTTGCAGTCTATTGTAGTTTTTTTTGTCTGAATTGATGTCCCGAGAAGTCGAAATCTCAAACTTTGCTTACATTTGGCGGGCAAGGGGAACTACCCATCCCTGGGGTCGAGAGCTAGCCGGCGTTGCCCCACGAGCCGCAAGCCGAATGTAACACGCAGTGGGTTTTCTTCTTACTATTTGTGGAAAATTTATCTTCTTCTTTTTTGCCTACTTTTTTTTTAGGGCTGCCAGATCGGTTCAAAGCTAATCGGTAATGAAACGGGTAGAAAAATATCATGGTGGCAGCCCGAAACTACGAATTGCACGAGTCTGGCAACGCCACAATACGAAGTCACATTCGTTTTATGTCAAAGAACGAATTCGCGAAGAAGAAGAGCGTGCGCGCGGATGTGTCACTGGCCGCGGAACCTTGTGCCGCATATCATCGGATACACGCTGGGCCGCAACGAATGGAGCGTCATCTTGTTATCGTCCTCGTCCAGGCCGTACTTGGAGAAGTGCTTCACACAAAACACCCAACTGCCGGTCTCTGGGCGATACTCGACGAAGCGCGTATCGTTTGCATAGCAGGCGCAACGCAGATGTCCCTCCCAATTCATTTCGATCAGACGCTGCGCATCCTTCACAACAGGCACAGGCTGGGTCTTGTCCACGGGCCATACCTGCTCGAGGGTGACTTGTGCCTCACGATTCAGGCCTTGGTTGATAGGCGGCCTCTTCTCATCGTCAGGATAAATGATGATCCCCTTGTTACGGAAGTAAACTGCAGAGAGAGAGCGAGAATAGTTCTTGGCGGATGATGCTTGTCTGGCCTGGCTCCTCCCCAATCACTTACCAATCTCATCCAGATTCAGTCCAGCCACGTCCATTTCCATGGCAAAGAACACAGTGCCATAGCCCTCGCGTCCAATGGTGAAATTGGGCACCACACCGGACCCATCCTCGGCCAGGTAGGACTTGAGATCATCCAGCGAGGGTATCGTGTAGTAGCCCACGCGTCGCAACACTATCCCTGTGGGATGTGGCGCATAGTCTGACGCCCCATAGCGCCTCGTTGCTGCCTCAATGGCCAGTCTGGAGCGATTCACTACAGTCTCCTGCGAGAGGGCCGCCTGCTGCTGCTGCTGCGATGCGAAGGTATCCCGCTTGGCAATGGCGCTGGTTTGCGACTTATCCGTATCCTGCCGATGTTGGTCTCTGCTGTCCCTGGAAGAGAAACCGCTGCTGCTGCTACTGCTCGCCGTCTCCGTGGGACTGTCGGACTTTTGGTGGGGACATCCCAAAGCCGCTTGGAGCCTGTGGGGACCGTTGCTGTTCACCGAAGATTTGGGGTTTGGGATATCGGCGGCCTTGTCCTTTTTTTTCTCTCTTGTTTTCCTGTTTTTACTCATTATTACAGCTATTGGTGCGTCGCGTCCACACACACACACACGTATATGCTCAAAATGGGATGCTCCGGCTGTTGCTCCACTTAACTACAGGTAAGTTATTTACTGGTACTATATCGTTACTAACTAAGTTAACGTTACGTAGTTACTGCACGGTGCCTAGTTAGTTTAGGCGTTTAAGCGAGTTTAAGTGAGAGAGTTTAAGCCGATTTGGCGTGCGTTCGCGGACGCACACACACATACACACACGTAACTATGCTCATATGTCGGGCTGCTGCTCCACTTAACTACAGGTTAGGTTACTACTGTTACTAGATAGTTACTAAGTTAACGTTACTTTACGTAGTTGCTGTACGTAGTTAGTTTCAGCATTTAAGCTAGCTTAAGCGCTTTGGCGCGCCGCGTCCACACTCACACAAACACACATATCATAACGGATCTTTCACTAGGGCTGGATCGTTGCCGAAACGATAGTATCGATATAAATTTATAAATTATATTTATATAAATTGGAATTGAGATGTATCTCATGAGATCTGAAAAACACGATGGCTATAACTATAGAAGTCTTTCTTTAACTATAGCTCCTGCTAAGGATTGGTAAGGACATAAACTGGACCTAGACGTACAACAATCGATGGTATTGTGTTCGTATCGATAGCATAGCTAGGGCTGCAAAAACTGCAAAACCGACGCTACGCGACGCTACGAGACGCTACCCGGCTACCGGCTACTAGGACTAGCCACTGACAGGACTTTCCAGGACTACGCACTACACTGCACAGGACAAGATGAATACGAGCAAGGCTGGAGCCAGTGCCACTGCTGCAACCAGCAATGCGTCATCCCAGGACCAGCAACAAGCTGTGGGCCCTTTGCGACCGGCAAAGCCTGGCCGGATGAAGAAACTAGCATATCCGAAGAAACCTGACCAGTACACAAACCGCCGACCCGTTTGTCCCATGTTTTACCTCTTCAAATCATTTAGTCTAGTGGAATTTAACGCCAACGATCTGAAGAACGCGATCCAGTACCTTAAAAGCCCCAGTCACATAGCAGATGTGAAAATCGGCAAGGTCAATTTGGTATCGTGCCTCACATATTTTCGAAATGAAAAGTTTGTAATAATATTAGACGAGTATCATCTTTCCCATATGGTATGTACCCATATATCCCTCAGTTTGGCTGATTTTAATTAATTAATGTATTGATATTTGCAGACTTTTCTACCCGTACCGAAATGGAAGGTACTTGTAATAGCTGCATTCAACTTGCAGGGCACTATGTTCCATTATTTATACGTTCGTGCGGTAAGTTGCCTTGCCTCTGGTCTGCTCTTGTAATACATCAATACGCATAGATTAAACTTGGTTGAACGGCATCAATGACATCACATTTAGTTAACATTTACGTTTTATGCTTTGGCCGTTTTTGTTTGAACCTTAATATGTAAATAATCCAATAAAAAGGACTTCTGAAAACTTGCCAATTTATGTATCTATCGGATCAAATTATTTGTTTAGGGCTGAGATTCCCAGCTAGCTAGTAATATTAAACGGAATATCAAAATCGAGGAATATCAACGCTGAATGTTTTGAAAAAACAATCGATTCTATCGTGATAATTCGGGCTCAAATAATTATTAAAAAACCATTGAAACCTTTTAGGAACTTGTCCATAGTAAACATTAGATGCCACCTGTTGATTTGTTTGTCTTCGTATCTTAGAGCAGCCAATCCAAAGATATCAAAAGCGCAACAACTGTAGCTCGATACTATCATGATAGTCGCAAAAACCGTCGATAGTAGCGGATAGCAGCAAAAAATCGATAGTGCCCTTGATGGTTTGACACCTCTAGTAAACTACCATGGCTCGTAGTAAAGTTTGGAAATATTATGATAAAATTTCAAACAATACGGCGCAATGCCAGCTCTGCGAAAAGATCATCAAAACTTCCGGCAACACGTCCAACTTGATGAAGCACATGAAGACCCATCCGCAGATGTAAGTGCTGTGCTTCCTTCCATATGATTGTGTCTGCCCAGGGCTGATGAACTGACTTTACTTTATAAATTGCAGAGATCTCAATAATAATGAATCTGTGGTGATGCGTGGCATGTTCAAGCGGGAGTCTCATGTGGAAAGAGGAAAATCAAAAAGTCGCCGCCTTACGAGGGCCTCCTGTCCCTGTTCCAGGGGAAATATCACAGCGGCAGTGGGCTGGTAATAAAAACTAAAGCGGAGCCAGATAATTTCATAGAGCTGGATGATGCCTCTTGTCAGCCAGTTGAACAGGCTGCCGGGGAGAGCGTTATCTTCTGGACGACTGGTGAAACGGAGTCCGCTGCAGAGACAGTCAGCGCCGAGGACATCATAGAATTTGAGCCCAAGGTGGCAAATGATGCCAGCGCCGAAGCCAGTACTGCTCTATTTGAAATTCCGGATCTACCGCTGGACGACGTAGAGGAAGTTATCACGTAAGCTATCTCATCTCGCTCACCTTAAAGATCATTGGCGAATAGCAGAAATAATAGAATATGAAATTTGGTTTGCAGCAACTTCCACAGCAACCTGGACGCAAGAGTAGCAGGCCAGCGGTCGTTTCTTCAAAACATGGCCTTCTTTGTCTGCCGTGACAGGCATCCTCTGCATATCATTCAGGCCGAGGGATTCAAGCATTTGATAAGTGAGTTGTGCCCTGGCTCTAAACCTCCCAGCGTGGATGAGCTGGGCACTTATATTTACAACCAGCGGCAGCTGCAAGCATCAAAACTGCGCCAACAATTAGCAGGACTATCCACGCTCTCCCTAAGTTGTGCCGTTCACACGAAACCAGAGGAGCGAAGTTACCTGGTGCTGGCGGTTCATTTCTTCGAGGGACTGGAAAAGGTTTCCAGAACGTTGTCGGTACAAAGCTTGCCCGAGCATTTCAGTGCCAGCCAGATTGAGGAGCGGATGGAGCGGGTGTGTCGCCGTTTTGACATAAGCAAAACAAAGATCACCTGCGTGGTCACAAGAGGCTGTCGTCGGCTCGAGGATGCTGTGGCGTCCCTTTTGGGGGATCATCGTCACATGCCCTGCTTTGGAGACCTGCTCAATACTATACTAGAGAAAACTATGCTCCGCAAAGAGATTATTCACTTCGGCGAGAAGGTTCGCCCCTATGTTGCGCACTACCTCGACAGTGGGGCTCTTCTCTGGCAAAGGAAACTGCAACTGGATGTGAAGCAATGCCCCCTGAGCACGTTTGATATGCTCGAGAGATACATAAAGTACGCCCCGCACCTGCTCAAATACGTGCCACTCGAGATTAGCCCGCCCCTGTCCGAAGAAGAGCTGGAACAGTGTCGTGAGCTGCTGGGAGTCCTGAAGCCGCTGGCCAGCTCGATGAGAGAGCTCAGTCGAGCAGGAGAAACGTCATTTCCCGATGCTAGCAAGGCCTTGCCCATAGCATACACCCTCATCAACGAACTGAAGAAGCACCGGAGCTCGGAAAATCAGTTGACTTATGATCTGCGCATGGTTCTGCTCCATCAGCTCGAGGAGTGCTTTGATAGCATGGAGAATAACATTCAGCTGGCTATGGCCACTCTACTGGATCCGCGCTTTCGCACCATGCCTTTTTTTTACAGTGAACTGGCGTCCCATTACAAGAAAGATCTTTGCGAGATTTTTCAGACACACGCAAAGCCTCGAGTGGCAGCCACTGCTCAAGAGGATACGGACGAAAACTATGACATCTGGGCGGCGTACAAGACTTTATCGCATGAGAAGGAGAAGCACCGGCAGAGCACAGAGCCCAATGACCAGGACGATGAGATCAGCAGCTATTTTGATGGAAGAATCAGTAGCCTGCAGGAGGAGCCGATGAAACTGTGGGAAAATCTAATGTATTTGCACCCCTTTCTGCATGGTCTGGCCAAGAAGTACCTGCACATTCCGGCCACCGCTGTCCCGCCGGGACTGTTCACGGCCGCGGGAGAACAGTACGCGAAACTGACTGGCGCTTACATGGAAAACACGCTCTTTATGGCAGATGTTCCTTTTAACGAGTGGCAATAGTACAATTTTCATATTGTAGAAAAATACATTTTACTATAGTTTTAAAATAGTACGCGTTTTATTAAAACGGACATTTCTAAGTGCTGCACTACGGTCACACTATTGCATTACACTATTTTCTTCGCCTTATCTCCCACCCTCTCTAAATCACACACCTTGCACATTATTAGATATATATATCGGATAAGTTGACTGCTTTCTTCGCCAGGGGGCGCTGGTAATAATTACGTGTCTGCGTAGTTGCCATTTCGCACAACCACAACTATTTGTCCCATATTGTGACGAAAAATTTTCGGCAGAGGTTTTTCTTTTTGACGAGTTAATACGATTTCAATCAATAAAATGAAACGTTAACCCATTGTCGACCAGGGGGGTGTTTAGCGCACAGAAAATACGGCGGACAAATTTTCCGCATGTTCCAGTCCCACCTCAGCGATAGATTGTCCAGGGCTGAGTCGAAGCGCCATCTATCGGTTTTCCAAAGAGGCTAAATGATGTAGGACAGTATCGGTGAGAGCGAGATTCCGTTACTGAATAAAAGAAGGAAGAGGATAAGATTAGTTAGGTGTATTGGTAAAGGCAGGCATACATGAAAGGGATTAAATAGGAGTGAAAAAAATCTAAAACGTGGACATAAGAATTGCTGGTCATCCGAAGCAGAGGTACTAATTAATAGCAGAACTAGAATCTAGGCCGAGTGGGGTTAAACCCGATTAGTGGAATTTTCAAAAAGTGAGTGGTGAAAATTCGAATTTAAATAAAATGTAATCCGTGATAAATTTCCCATAGCCTGGCCCGGAAGATTGCCCAGCGCAGCCGGGTCAGTGATTTTACCTGAGGGAGAGAAATTCTGGAGAGGATCGACCGCAGTGGGCCCGACGAGCCAACCTTCGAAATCTAACTGTGAGTCCGTTCCGTGCCTGTTATTTTGTGCCGTGTATGAAGCCGAGATTTGTGAGGGGTGCATGCCTAACCAGGTCAAACGAACGATCCGCTTAGAGTGACCAAGGACCGTGCCGCAGACGCAGTGGTACACGTAGTCCGAGCCTGTGGACTCTGCCGGAGCCACCTCTACGATCACCTAAGGATTTGCACTCACGATTACACTCGCATTTACACACTACACGTTCACATTGGCACGCAAAGTTCATTGCACTCACGATCGCCCACCGTATATATATTTCCTTGGGATCACTATTCTCACTCGCAAGCCGCTACGGACACATATGTGCCCGACAGTATTAGTATTGTTCATCGTGTTGCCCATATTATATGTGTTAATTGTTATTTATTATTAATAGTTTAAGTGAACCGTAACGTAAACAAACCCGATTTGTGAAACGCCAAACATTGCCCGACATAGACACAAAACAAAACATATGGTAGGATTAACCCTTGTGCGCGGCGCGGGGTCTCACAAGCCCACCGTTTTGGTGAAATATTGTTTGGTCATTTTTGTTGTCGATGGCCTTGTTTATATCTGCCCCTATGACCCTTAACAAGAGCTCTTGGTAGGATAGTCTCGGGAGGGCCAAAAGAAATGTAAATCATTTCCCAATTTAATTCTGCATAAAAACGCCCATTACGCACATAGGTATATTCTCCTAATCCAGTTGGTATTTATTTGAGTGCTGTCGTTAAGTGAGTTGGTATTTTTTTTGTTATTATGTTATTTATTTAAATTATTATTGTTTATTATCTAGGAAGAAAATTTATAGTTAGGAGATGTATTTGTCGTATTATATTATATATTAAACTAAGGAATATTGAAAGGATGAAGGCCTAAATTAATTTAGAGGGAGGACGCGTGGCGTAAGCCATGGATTAGACCAGCCGCAGCCGTTCCAGCAGAGGGTGGCCAAAATGAACGTTATATTTGACCACAGGTAGGGTGGGCGCGCGAAGTGGAAACACCTAGACTTCACCCCCTTGACAGCCGTCTATTTGTTTGGTTCTTTTTGTTTGTCTTGCAGTCTATTGTAGTTTTTTTTGTCTGAATTGATGTCCCGAGAAGTCGAAATCTCAAACTTTGCTTACATTTGGCGGGCAAGGGGAACTACCCATCCCTGGGGTCGAGAGCTAGCCGGCGTTGCCCCACGAGCCGCAAGCCGAATGTAACAAATGGCGCCCAATGTATTTATTGTTCCAATGCATTTGGACTGACGCAACTCCAGGTGTCATTCTAACAAATGACTCCTGGACGTGTAGAGGGGAATGCATTGGAGAAATAAATAAAAATAAAATTTTTGTAGAGAAGACGACGGCTCGCGAAATGCAGTTTAGCTGTCCCGGCAGAAGTCGCTGCTGCAGGCTTAAGGGGAGCGCAAAGCTGACCCTTAATGGCGCGGAGTGGCCAAAGCTAGGGAGAGATAGATGTAGTTAGGTAGAAAAGCTGTAGTGAGAGGACTTACGAGTTCCATGTTGCGTTTCGCCACAGTTCGATGTCGCTAGTGGACGTAAGTCACTGCTGTTCCACGAAGGAACTGGTGGTTTGCGACGGACACATTGCCTGGTGGTTGTGATATCGAATAAATCTGTGATAGAATGTGATATGGGATAAGATAGAGTAAGTCATTGTAGGTAAATGTTCAAGTTAGTTTCTCACCTGTTTGTCCGCGATGCATCGGCTGTCACGGCAAATCGGTTGGATGGATGGCGGGGACAAGACACAAGAAAGTTGAACTGGTGCACCGTGAGGCTTCTCGCTTATCGGCCATCACTCAATGTGATGACTAGTGTAGGCGACAAGTCACACAAAAGGGGTGTTTTGTGAATGTAGTGTATCCGTAGGACGACTGTCAAGTGGAGCGCAGAAACTGGAGCGGTTGTTGGTCCCGGCTAGTCAGGTGTCCTCCTCTAAAAAGAACTATTCTGGGAAGAAAAGAATTGACGGTTATTTTGTTGTGTTGTGGGTTTGTTCGAGAATATATGTTTTGAATTGTGGTTAGGTGTCGATAGATATATATTCTATTTATTTAGTTATTCAATTATTTATTGGGTAAAAGAATATTAGCCTATTTGGCGGCATATTTATTAAGTAATTATTTATTTATTTACGTGATTATTTGTTGTCAGAGGGGTTATTTATTTTGCGTGTTATTTTTTTGGGTATTTATTTATTTAGGTATATATAGTTAGTTTCGTGTAGATTTTTATAATCGTGGTCTTTGTGGTCCTTTGGTGGGAATGCCAAAAGTAGTAGGAAGTCGGCCATATCCGACGCGATCTCGAGCACACGAAAGAGAGGGATCGTTAGGAGAAGTGTCCGGGGCGATGGCCGACCAAGATCGTAGTGATCTGGGAGCTGTGGGTGGTTTGCCGAGAACGCCAGTCCAGAACAGGGCAGAAGAGTGGCCGAATACACCATTCCTTCCTTCTGAGTTGGCATCAGCAGCGAATGTAGCGATGGCTCAGGCGGGAGCAACAAATAGAGCAGCGCAGGCTGACTCTATAAGTCGGGTGTTGCAGGAGGAGTTACGCATGGGGTTCATGGGGATGATGCGTGAACTCAATGAGATACTCCAGCCGATGAGACAGCAGCCACTAGTACCGCAATGGGAAGACAACAACACCGAGCAAGGGCAGCGAGGAGCCATACCGAAGAGGAAGCCGTCGAGTTCGACTGAAGCGGCCATACCGCCACCAAAACCACGTTTGTCACGGTCGGGGCACGATGGGAATGGTCCGGAGCCGTCTTCAGGAGTAGGGGCGACGGCATCTGCAGACCAGCATCGACGGGGTGATCATCGGGCTCAAAATTGGCTAAACCCGATAACGAGACAGCAAGGTACGGGTCGTAGCGGGAATAGAAGATCCGGTGGGAGAACAACCAGCAGCCCACGTGAGGAGCAGCATCCACACTCGTCCCATTACCGATCGTGGCCTCGGTGGGGCCGAGTCGAGAAGTGGGACGTGACTTTCGATGGCGACGCCAATAAGGTGACCGTAGAGGATTTCGTGTTCCGAGTCGAATTCCTGCAGAAGCAAATGCGATGTCCCTGGGATGAGGTGATGAAGGGGTTACATCATCTGCTTACGGGAAACGCTCGGGAATGGTATTGGCAATACGTACGGGATCATCGTGGTGGTAACTGGCAGGAGTTGAGGGATGATTTGGTTGCACGTTTCCGAGGCACAGCTTCCGAGTTTGACCGAATGAGAGAACTGCGGGAACGGATGCAACGGCCAAACGAGAGCGTGGAAGATTTTTTTCATGCCATGAGGAAGCTTTCTTCGAGGGTAGAGACGCCACCACCTGAAAGCGAAATGATTAAGATTGTGAAAAAGGCTCTCACAGATGAGATAGCGAGTTTTGTGTATGGCTTACGAGTGTACTCCCTAGACCAACTGCGCGATGAATGTGTGGAAATAGAGGCACACTTGAAGCGGAAGTCCCGATCCTCGTGGCGAGGAGCACCAAAAGCCACCAACTTTGGCCGAGGAGCGAACGTCAGTGAGGTCGCGCAGGATCTGTCGAGAAGCGATGAGGAGGCAGAAGTCTGTGAAGAGGCGCAAGTGACAAGGCGGGGTCCAGTAAAGTTGACTTGCTGGAACTGCGGGAAAACGGATCATGGTTTTCGGGACTGTATGGCAGCAGAGAGGCGAATCTTCTGCTACCGCTGTGGAAAGCCCGATGCATATTGTCCGACCTGTCCGAATTGTGCGGGAAACGCGAAGAAGAGCGCGATTCAAGCAGGCGAAACACGCTCACAGATGGGGCCTGCGAACTGGAAGTAGAACATAAGAAGAATGAAATAGATAGACATAGTTTGCATGCTAGGTTAAGGAACTTACCGTATGAAGAGCGGTTAAGGAATTATTTGGAAGTCCGTAATAGAATATTTTCCGACTTAAAGGTGGATGGGATGCGAGCACTGTCAGTTCGGGTAAAGAAGGCAAGATCCCGGTTTAAGCAGAGACGATCGGTGAGGAGACAGGTGATTGCCTCAGTACAGCGCTGTAGCAAAAACGACCCAAGGGTATTCGCTGATATCTCTATAATGGGGGAATCCATTAGAGGGTTGTTGGACTCAGGCGCTACGCACAGCATGTTAGGCAAGAATGGCCAGGAGTTCTTGGAGAAGCTGGGTGTAGTGGCTCGTCGATATTCGTCCATAGTTAAGGTGGCAAATGGAGAAGATCGCGCAATCGTTGGTCGAGTGGAATTGCCTGTGGAGTATAAGGGAGAGATAAAGAGATTAACCTTTTTCTTATGTCCGTTCTTGGAGCAGGAAATTTACTTGGGTGTAGACTTTTGGCGGGCTTTTGCATTGGCTCCTGAGGTGATGGGAGAATGTCCTGTAGGTGCATCACACAGATTGGTAGAAGAAGTGATGGCTGACCAAGTCGCTCACTATGTAGAAGGACCGGAGAAGGAAATTGTGCAAGAGGAATGGGAGTTGTCGGAGGAGCAGAAGATCGCCTTGGATAAGGTGAAGGCAGAATTTCTGACATTTGAAGGGGTAGGCCTGGGCAAGACGTCGATGGAGACGCATAAAATCCAGCTTGTGGAGAATGCCGAGCCTGTAAAGGATCGACATTATCCATTATCGCCAGCGATGCAGGACGTGGTTTGTGTGGAGGTGGACAAGATGTTGGCTTTAGGAGTCATCGAGCACAGTGATAGCCCGTGGAGTAACCGCACTACGGTTGTACGACGGCCGGGCAAAAATCGGTTCTGTCTCGATGCCCGAAAGCTCAACAAGGTGACCATCAAGGACGCCTATCCACTGCCTAGCATCGAGGGAATTTTGTCGCGTCTCGACCAGACGATATACATCTCCAGCGTCGATTTAAAATTCGCATTTTGGCAAATCGAGCTGGACGAGCCGAGCCGAGCCTACACTGCTTTCACAGTGCCAGGAAGACCATTATACCAGTTCCGGATGATGCCCTTCGGTCTTTGCAACGCTGCACAACGCCTATGTAGATTAGTGGATAAGGTTATTCCGGTAGAGATGCGTTCAAATGTATATGCATACCTCGACGACTTGCTGATTATATCCGAGAGCTTCGAACAGCACGTGAAGATCCTCCTACAGGTTGCAGAGCGACTAAGGAAGGCAAATTTGACGATAGGGTTAGGGAAATCTCATTTTTGCTTTAAAAACATTAAATACCTCGGTTTTATAGTGGGAGGAGGAACGCTCAAGATGGATCCAGATCGTGTATCGGCTATTTTACGCATTCCCGAGCCACGATCTGTCCGAGAATTGCGTAGTTTCTTGGGTACTGCGGGTTGGTATCGGCGTTTTATGAAGAACTTTGCAGAGTTAGCCGTTCCACTTACAGATGCCTTGAAAAAGTCGGGAAAAGGTAGATTTAGATTGACGGATGAGGCAAAGCGAGCAATGGGAGAGCTGAAAGCTGCACTTACCTCTGCACCTGTCCTCGTACACGCAGATTTCAAGCGGCACTTTTACATCCAGTGCGACGCGTCGCATTATGGGGTAGGAGCCGTACTCTTCCAACGCGATGATGAGCAGAACGAGAGGCCGATTGCATTCTTCTCGGCGAAGCTAAATTGTCACCAGATAAACTACTCTGTGACAGAGAAAGAGTGTCTGGCAGCTCTCATGGCGATTCTGAAGTTCCGTCCGTATGTCGAGCTTATGCCGTTCACAGTCATTACTGACCACGCCAGTCTCAAATGGCTCATGACGATGAAGAACTTGGATGGTCGTTTAGCTCGGTGGTCTCTTCAATTGCAAGCCTTCGATTTCGGCATAGAACACCGAAAAGGAGTGGATAATGTAGTGGCAGATACATTGTCCCGCAATATCGAAGAGTTGGAAGTGGATCCGAGCAGTGTTCTGGGTTTCGAAACGGTGGAGTTCGAGTCTGAGGAATATCAGGAGTTAAAGAAAGAAGTCAGAGAGAATCAAGAACGCTTACCTGATCTTCAGATTGTAGATGGAATGATATTCAAGCGCATGCGCTTTGAAAGGTTAGATGACCAACTGGAGGGATCTGTCTGGAAATTGTGGGTTCCGAGTTCGCTGCCGGCCACATTGATAGACAAGGCGCATCTCGATGAAAAGACGGCGCACGGTGGTATTGCCAAAACGTTGCACCTTCTGCGTAGGCAATTTTATTGGCCGAAAATGGCTGTGGAGGTGCGCGATTACATCCGACGTTGTGACGTTTGCAAGGAGTCGAAAGCGCAGAATTACCGGATGCAGGTTGGGATTGGACAGGAGGTGATCACGGAGCGTCCATTCCAAAAGCTGTACATCGATTTCTTAGGAAAATATCCGCGTTCAAAGAATGGTCAAGCGTGGATATTCATTGTGGTTGACCACTTCTCGAAATTCACTTTCCTGAAGACCATGAAAGCGGCCACAGCGAAGGATGTAGTGACGTTCCTCGTCCATGAAGTCTTTTATAAGTTTGGGGTGCCGGAGACTATTCACTCAGACAATGGGGCTCAGTTCATCTCCAAAACGTTCAGGGAGATGATTGAAGCGTTTGGAGTGACCCATTTGAGGACGCCAGTGTATTCTCCACAAAGCAACGCAGCCGAACGTGTGAATCGTACTGTTCTTAGCGCGATTCGTATGTATTTGGAGGACGATCACCGGGACTGGGACGTACATCTTCCGGAGATAGAGTTGGCCATAAGGAACTCAGTTCATGAGGCGACAGGCGTGACTCCGTTCTTTGCGGTCTTCGGACAGCAAATGTATTTGCATGGGTCATGCTATAAGCTGGCGAAACGTTTGCGTTCCATCGGCGAGCATGACATATCTCTGCTAGAGAGTCAGGACAAGCGACAACTCATTCAGGAGAGGATTCGAGATAGTCTGCATCACGCGTACGAACGTAGTAGCTTGAGGTACAACCAGAGAGCTCGGGTGTTTTATGCGAAGCCTGGACAAGAGGTATTCCGCCGTAATTTTGTCCTAAGCGACTTCGGTAAATGCTTCAATGCCAAGTTCGCGCGCAAGTTCGTCCGATGCCGTGTAGTGAAGCCAGTAGGAGGGAACGCATATGCTCTGGAGGATCTCAACGGTCGTCCCATTGGAGTCTACCACGCAAAAGACTTGAGGCTCTAGTTGGATGTGGGTGTGGCCTACGTTGGGCGCTGCAGAAGAAGGCACGCCGGCATGTGGTCGAGAGTAACCCTTAATCCGGTGGGCATGCCCACGCGTATGTTGTCCTTTCAAAGGTCCGTCGACATACTCGTGGTGGTGTTCCAGTCCCACCTCAGCGATAGATTGTCCAGGGCTGAGTCGAAGCGCCATCTATCGGTTTTCCAAAGAGGCTAAATGATGTAGGACAGTATCGGTGAGAGCGAGATTCCGTTACTGAATAAAAGAAGGAAGAGGATAAGATTAGTTAGGTGTATTGGTAAAGGCAGGCATACATGAAAGGGATTAAATAGGAGTGAAAAAAATCTAAAACGTGGACATAAGAATTGCTGGTCATCCGAAGCAGAGGTACTAATTAATAGCAGAACTAGAATCTAGGCCGAGTGGGGTTAAACCCGATTAGTGGAATTTTCAAAAAGTGAGTGGTGAAAATTCGAATTTAAATAAAATGTAATCCGTGATAAATTTCCCATAGCCTGGCCCGGAAGATTGCCCAGCGCAGCCGGGTCAGTGATTTTACCTGAGGGAGAGAAATTCTGGAGAGGATCGACCGCAGTGGGCCCGACGAGCCAACCTTCGAAATCTAACTGTGAGTCCGTTCCGTGCCTGTTATTTTGTGCCGTGTATGAAGCCGAGATTTGTGAGGGGTGCATGCCTAACCAGGTCAAACGAACGATCCGCTTAGAGTGACCAAGGACCGTGCCGCAGACGCAGTGGTACACGTAGTCCGAGCCTGTGGACTCTGCCGGAGCCACCTCTACGATCACCTAAGGATTTGCACTCACGATTACACTCGCATTTACACACTACACGTTCACATTGGCACGCAAAGTTCATTGCACTCACGATCGCCCACCGTATATATATTTCCTTGGGATCACTATTCTCACTCGCAAGCCGCTACGGACACATATGTGCCCGACAGTATTAGTATTGTTCATCGTGTTGCCCATATTATATGTGTTAATTGTTATTTATTATTAATAGTTTAAGTGAACCGTAACGTAAACAAACCCGATTTGTGAAACGCCAAACATTGCCCGACATAGACACAAAACAAAACATATGGTAGGATTAACCCTTGTGCGCGGCGCGGGGTCTCACAAGCCCACCGTTTTGGTGAAATATTGTTTGGTCATTTTTGTTGTCGATGGCCTTGTTTATATCTGCCCCTATGACCCTTAACAAGAGCTCTTGGTAGGATAGTCTCGGGAGGGCCAAAAGAAATGTAAATCATTTCCCAATTTAATTCTGCATAAAAACGCCCATTACGCACATAGGTATATTCTCCTAATCCAGTTGGTATTTATTTGAGTGCTGTCGTTAAGTGAGTTGGTATTTTTTTTGTTATTATGTTATTTATTTAAATTATTATTGTTTATTATCTAGGAAGAAAATTTATAGTTAGGAGATGTATTTGTCGTATTATATTATATATTAAACTAAGGAATATTGAAAGGATGAAGGCCTAAATTAATTTAGAGGGAGGACGCGTGGCGTAAGCCATGGATTAGACCAGCCGCAGCCGTTCCAGCAGAGGGTGGCCAAAATGAACGTTATATTTGACCACAGGTAGGGTGGGCGCGCGAAGTGGAAACACCTAGACTTCACCCCCTTGACAGCCGTCTATTTGTTTGGTTCTTTTTGTTTGTCTTGCAGTCTATTGTAGTTTTTTTTGTTTGAATTGATGCCGAGAAGTCGAAATCTCAATTACTTTGCTTACTTTTGGGGGGGAAGGGGGGACCCACCTTTTGGGGGGAGCTAGCCGGCGTTGCCCCACGAGCCGCAAGCCGAATGTAACACGCAGTGGGTTTTTTTCTTACTATTTGTGGAAAATTTATCTTCTTCTTTTTTGCCTACTTTTTTTTTAGGGCTGCCAGATCGGTTCAAAGCTAATCGGTAATGAAACGGGTAGAAAAATATCATGGTGGCAGCCCGAAACTACGAATTGCACGAGTCTGGCAACGCCACAATACGAAGTCACATTCGTTTTATGTCAAAGAACGAATTCGCGAAGAAGAAGAGCGTGCGCGCGGATGTGTCACTGGCCGCGGAACCTTGTGCCGCATATCATCGGATACACGCTGGGCCGCAACGAATGGAGCGTCATCTTGTTATCGTCCTCGTCCAGGCCGTACTTGGAGAAGTGCTTCACACAAAACACCCAACTGCCGGTCTCTGGGCGATACTCGACGAAGCGCGTATCGTTTGCATAGCAGGCGCAACGCAGATGTCCCTCCCAATTCATTTCGATCAGACGCTGCGCATCCTTCACAACAGGCACAGGCTGGGTCTTGTCCACGGGCCATACCTGCTCGAGGGTGACTTGTGCCTCACGATTCAGGCCTTGGTTGATAGGCGGCCTCTTCTCATCGTCAGGATAAATGATGATCCCCTTGTTACGGAAGTAAACTGCAGAGAGAGAGCGAGAATAGTTCTTGGCGGATGATGCTTGTCTGGCCTGGCTCCTCCCCAATCACTTACCAATCTCATCCAGATTCAGTCCAGCCACGTCCATTTCCATGGCAAAGAACACAGTGCCATAGCCCTCGCGTCCAATGGTGAAATTGGGCACCACACCGGACCCATCCTCGGCCAGGTAGGACTTGAGATCATCCAGCGAGGGTATCGTGTAGTAGCCCACGCGTCGCAACACTATCCCTGTGGGATGTGGCGCATAGTCTGACGCCCCATAGCGCCTCGTTGCTGCCTCAATGGCCAGTCTGGAGCGATTCACTACAGTCTCCTGCGAGAGGGCCGCCTGCTGCTGCTGCTGCGATGCGAAGGTATCCCGCTTGGCAATGGCGCTGGTTTGCGACTTATCCGTATCCTGCCGATGTTGGTCTCTGCTGTCCCTGGAAGAGAAACCGCTGCTGCTGCTACTGCTCGCCGTCTCCGTGGGACTGTCGGACTTTTGGTGGGGACATCCCAAAGCCGCTTGGAGCCTGTGGGGACCGTTGCTGTTCACCGAAGATTTGGGGTTTGGGATATCGGCGGCCTTGTCCTTTTTTTTCTCTCTTGTTTTCCTGTTTTTACTCATTATTACAGCTATTGGTGCGTCGCGTCCACACACACACACACGTATATGCTCAAAATGGGATGCTCCGGCTGTTGCTCCACTTAACTACAGGTAAGTTATTTACTGGTACTATATCGTTACTAACTAAGTTAACGTTACGTAGTTACTGCACGGTGCCTAGTTAGTTTAGGCGTTTAAGCGAGTTTAAGTGAGAGAGTTTAAGCCGATTTGGCGTGCGTTCGCGGACGCACACACACATACACACACGTAACTATGCTCATATGTCGGGCTGCTGCTCCACTTAACTACAGGTTAGGTTACTACTGTTACTAGATAGTTACTAAGTTAACGTTACTTTACGTAGTTGCTGTACGTAGTTAGTTTCAGAAAATAAGCTAGCGTAAGCGCTTTTGGCGCGCCGCGTCCACACTCACACAAACACACATATCATAACGGATCTTTCACTAGGGCTGGATCGTTGCCGAAACGATAGTATCGATATAAATTTATAAATTATATTTATATAAATTGGAATTGAGATGTATCTCATGAGATCTGAAAAACACGATGGCTATAACTATAGAAGTCTTTCTTTAACTATAGCTCCTGCTAAGGATTGGTAAGGACATAAACTGGACCTAGACGTACAACAATCGATGGTATTGTGTTCGTATCGATAGCATAGCTAGGGCTGCAAAAACTGCAAAACCGACGCTACGCGACGCTACGAGACGCTACCCGGCTACCGGCTACTAGGACTAGCCACTGACAGGACTTTCCAGGACTACGCACTACACTGCACAGGACAAGATGAATACGAGCAAGGCTGGAGCCAGTGCCACTGCTGCAACCAGCAATGCGTCATCCCAGGACCAGCAACAAGCTGTGGGCCCTTTGCGACCGGCAAAGCCTGGCCGGATGAAGAAACTAGCATATCCGAAGAAACCTGACCAGTACACAAACCGCCGACCCGTTTGTCCCATGTTTTACCTCTTCAAATCATTTAGTCTAGTGGAATTTAACGCCAACGATCTGAAGAACGCGATCCAGTACCTTAAAAGCCCCAGTCACATAGCAGATGTGAAAATCGGCAAGGTCAATTTGGTATCGTGCCTCACATATTTTCGAAATGAAAAGTTTGTAATAATATTAGACGAGTATCATCTTTCCCATATGGTATGTACCCATATATCCCTCAGTTTGGCTGATTTTAATTAATTAATGTATTGATATTTGCAGACTTTTCTACCCGTACCGAAATGGAAGGTACTTGTAATAGCTGCATTCAACTTGCAGGGCACTATGTTCCATTATTTATACGTTCGTGCGGTAAGTTGCCTTGCCTCTGGTCTGCTCTTGTAATACATCAATACGCATAGATTAAACTTGGTTGAACGGCATCAATGACATCACATTTAGTTAACATTTACGTTTTATGCTTTGGCCGTTTTTGTTTGAACCTTAATATGTAAATAATCCAATAAAAAGGACTTCTGAAAACTTGCCAATTTATGTATCTATCGGATCAAATTATTTGTTTAGGGCTGAGATTCCCAGCTAGCTAGTAATATTAAACGGAATATCAAAATCGAGGAATATCAACGCTGAATGTTTTGAAAAAACAATCGATTCTATCGTGATAGTTCGGGCTCAAATAATTATTAAAAAACCATTGAAACCTTTTAGGAACTTGTCCATTGTAAAAATTAGATGCCACCTGTCGATTTGTTTACAAATGTGTCTTTGTATTTTATAGCAGCCAATCCAAACATATCAAAAGCGCAACGACTGTAGCTCGATACTATCATGATAGTCGCCAAACCGTCGATAGTAGAGGCTAGCAGTAAAATATCGATACTATCGATAGTGCACCTCTAATTTGTCGCATATTGATGACGTTTTTTATGTGGAATAAAAAGTGAAACATTTCAATATGCACCTGCATAAAACACACAAATAACACGCAGCGTGCCGAGAGTCGACATCAGACAACTGACGCTGACCAGCCAGCAGCGAAAGTTGCTGAAAACACACAGCACACAGAAAGCTATAGCCAGGGCGAGAGCAGCAGCAGAGGCAGCAAGAAGAGGGCCACTTGGAGAACTCGGGATAACAACATAAAGGTCGACCTTGGGAGTTGCATATGCACAATATGCAAAATAACTCCACGAAAACCAAGGAAATGTTTATTGTGCGTGCTCTAGAGAAAATCCTTGCCGACAAGGACATACGGCGCTCCCACCACTCGCAGCTGAAGAAGTCCTGCGACTCGGCACTCGAGCAGATCAAGGCGGAGCTGATCAGCGCCGGCCAGATTGCCGAGGGCAATGAGCTGCCTTGCGCGGCCCTACCGTTGCCAAAGAACGATGCGGCCAGCATCATCAATGCCGAGACCTACTTTCTGCCCTTTGAGCTGGCCTGCAAGAGTCGTTCGCCGAGGATTGTGGTAACAGCCCTGGACTGCCTGCAAAAGCTGATTGCTTACGGACATCTGACAGGCTCCATCCAGGACTCAGCCAACCCCGGCCACCTGCTCATCGATCGCATTGTCATCACCATATACGGCTGCTTTAGCGGACCCCAGACGGACGAGGGCGTCCAGCTGCAGATCATCAAGGCTCTGCTCACTGTGGTCACCTCCCAACATGTCGAGATCCACGAGTTCACACTCCTCCAGGCAGTGCGCACCTGCTACGACATCTATCTTTCCAGCAAGAACCTAGTCAATCAGACGACAGCGCGTGCGACTCTCACCCAAATGCTGAATGTCATATTTGCCCGCATGGAGAACCAGGTGTACGAGGTGCCCCCGCCCCCGCCTACGAACGGCAGCATCCACTCGGCATCCGAAGACTGCAATGGGGATGACACGCTGGCGGATACTGACGAAGTCATTGCCTCGGAGCTGCTGGCTGAGATCATATCAGGTGTGTAGCAACTATGAATTGACAAGCAGGCACTTATGAGAACCTTCTGTATGGCTGCTTATCAGTCAATCAATCACAATTATTGTACATTGGTTATTGAATAACAATACATAATATTCATTTGTTTTGCAGCTGCCTACAATGAGGCCATGAAAGATCAGGACGCCCCCGAGGTGGAGGCGATTGTGAACGGCAACGACTCCTCGTCGCATTCGGATCCGGACAGCGTTGAGATTGAGCTGCACAACGAGAACGATGCCGTCGTCACGGCCAAGTTCACCCACATTCTGCAGAAGGATGCCTTTCTGGTGTTTCGATCGTTGTGCAAGCTCTCGATGAAGCCCCTGCCGGACGGGCATCCTGATCCAAAGTCGCACGAGCTGCGCTCCAAGGTGCTGTCGCTGCATTTGCTGCTTCTGATACTGCAGAATGCCGGGCCCGTCTTCCGCTCCAATGAGATGTTCATCATGGCTATCAAGCAGTATCTGTGCGTGGCTCTATCCAACAATGGGGTCAGTCTGGTGCCCGAGGTGTTTGAGCTGTCGCTGTCGATCTTCGTGGCCTTACTGTCCAATTTCAAGGTGCACTTGAAGCGGCAGATCGAGGTCTTCTTCAAGGAGATATTCCTCAACATTCTGGAGGCGAACTCCAGCAGCTTCGAGCACAAGTGGATGGTCATCCAGGCGCTGACGCGCATCTGTGCCGACGCCCAATCTGTGGTGGATATCTACGTGAACTATGACTGTGATTTCTCGGCGGCCAATCTGTTCGAGCGGCTGGTCAACGACCTGTCCAAGATTGCCCAGGGCCGGCAGGCCCTCGAGCTGGGGGCCAATCCCATGCAGGAGAAGTCCATGCGCATTCGGGGCCTAGAGTGCCTCGTCTCCATACTCAAGTGCATGGTGGAGTGGAGCAAGGATCTGTATGTAAACCCAAACATGCCCATCCCGGCCCTGCAGGTGCAGTCCCCGACGGCGACAGAGGACCATTCGGCGGACAACACCATACAGACCGCGTATAGTGGCTCCAGCCACAGCCTCAACTCCAACCAGGAGCAGCTTCAGGATCTGCCAGAAGCACTGGAGGAGCGCAAGATGCGCAAGGAGGTGATGGAAACTGGCATTGAGCTATTCAACCGGAAGCCCAAGAAGGGAGTGCAGTTCCTGCAGGAGAAGCAGCTGCTGGGAGCCACCTGCACGGACATTGCCAGGTGGCTGCACGACGATGAGCGCCTGGACAAGACCGTCATCGGCAACTATCTGGGCGAGAACGATGACCATTCGAAGGAGGTGATGTGCGCCTACATCGATGCCTTCAACTTCCGCCAAATGGAGGTGGTGGCCGCCCTGAGGATACTTCTCGAGGAGTTTCGGCTGCCGGGCGAGGCGCAGAAGATCGACCGCCTGATGGAGAAATTCGCCAGCAGATACTGCGAGTGCAATCCGCAGAACCAGCTGTTCCAGAGCGCCGACACGGTGTACGTGCTGGCCTTCAGCATTATCATGCTGACGACGGACCTGCACTCGCCGCAGGTCAAGCACAAGATGACCAAGGAGCAGTACATCAAAATGAACCGAGGGATCAGCGACAGCAAGGCAGACCTGCCCGAGGAGTATCTGTCCTCCATCTACGACGAGATTGCCGAGCACGAGATCAAGATGAAGAACAACTCGGGCATGCTGCAGCCCAAGCCCAGTGGCAAGCAACCGTTCATCACCGAGAAGCGGCGCAAACTGCTCTGGAACATGGAGATGGAGGTCATCTCACTGACGGCCACCAACCTCATGCAGTCCGTCTCGCACGTCAAGTCGCCCTTCACATCGGCCAAGCACCTGGAGCACGTGCGTCCCATGTTCAAGATGGCCTGGACCCCCTTCTTGGCCGCCTTCTCCGTGGGTCTGCAGGACTGCGACGACCCGGAGATAGCCACCCTGTGCCTGGACGGCATCCGGTGCGCCATCAGGATAGCCTGCATCTTTCACATGTCCCTGGAGCGAGATGCCTACGTGCAGGCCCTGGCCAGGTTCACTCTGCTAAACGCCAACTCGCCCATCAACGAGATGAAGGCCAAGAACATAGACACCATCAAGACCCTCATCATGGTGGCACACACGGACGGCAACTATCTCGGAAGCAGCTGGCTGGACATTGTCAAGTGCATCAGCCAGCTGGAACTGGCCCAGCTGATTGGCACGGGGGTGCGACCGCAGTTCCTGTCTGGGGCCCAGACCACGTTGAAGGACTCGCTGAACCCCAGCGTGAAGGAGCACATCGGGGAGACGAGCAGCCAGAGCGTTGTGGTGGCTGTCGACCGCATCTTCACGGGATCCATGCGGCTGGATGGCGATGCCATTGTCGACTTTGTGAAGGCCCTGTGCCAGGTGTCGGTGGACGAGCTGCAGCAGCCGCAGCCCCGCATGTTCTCCCTGCAGAAGATCGTTGAGATCAGCTACTACAACATGGAGCGCATCCG